CCTAAACCCTAAACCCGAAGCTCCCACTATCTAGGCCCTGCAAAACTCTTATGGCACCCATGAGGGGTTCCCTTAAGGGTTCCTTCAGGAGAATCCTTCAGGGGATCCCTTAAGGGTTCCGTTTAGGGTTTAGGGTTTAGGGTTTAGGGTTTAGGGTTTAGGGTTTAGGGTTTAGGGGAATGCTTTTAGGGTTTAGGGTTGAGGGTTAGGGTTCCTTCAAGAGTTCGTGGGTTCCCTTCTAGGAACCCTCAGGGGGAACCCCACGTAGGGTTTAGGGTTTGGGGTTGCGGGTTTGGGGTTTAGGGTTTAGGGTTTAGAGCTTAGGTTTGGGTTTTGGGTTTTGGGTTTAAGGGTTTAGGGCTTAGGGGTTTAGGGTTTAGAGCTTAGAGCTTCAAAACCCAATGATTCCCGGCCTCCCCGTGCATCTCGAAGTACCTCGGAAATCCCATCAAGCAGCTCTCCCAAACTATTCAAAAAAGGCTAGGGTGCCAACTTAGGGCTTAGGGCTTGGGGTTTAGGTGTGTAAGAGTTTGGGGTCTCGGGTGTAAGACCAGTGTTTTGGGTGTAAGTTGAGGGTTTAGGGTGTAAGCTGTAGGTTCTTGGAGCCTCAAACTTCGGTTCTAGAGGTTAGTGTAAATTATGAGCCCTAAAAATTTCCGGCTTCGGGTCTAGAGCTTTACGGTGTAGTTCAGAAGCTGTAAACTAGGTAGTGTTATTAGGGGTACCTCAGGGTACCCCTTCTGAACCTCGACTGCCGGGCTCCAAGACCGTTTTCGAATCAGAATGGGTCTCAAAAGCGTGGGTTCTTTCACGCTTTTGAGATAGCCCCGAAAACCCCTGTGCAAAACCACATAAGCCGCCATGAAATCGCATAATCCCTTACACAACAGCTTTACGGACCCTTACAAACCCAAAAAACGCTTGTTTGCCCAAGGTGCCCGGATTGCGGTTTCTTGTAGTCGGCCGAAGTGGCCGTCTTCACCACCTGGGTACAAGTTAAGTTACCAGGCAGCGTCCGAAATGGGTTTGGGTTTAGGTGTTGTGGGTTCAGGGTTTAAGGGTTTAGGAGTTTTGAGGCCAAAGTCAAGTCCAAGGAACATGTATAAGGGTATTTCAAGGTTTTGTAGTGTTTTGTTTAGGGTCCGAATTTGGGATAATAATTACCAATTTCGGTGTATCTCGGTGACTGGATGGCTATTAAAGAACTTAGACCCTCAGGGCAAAACGGTTTTCAACCCATGGGATTTCGTATGAATTAAGGAACAACAGGAGGGACCCCGAATCCAAATACCCTATATGACCCTTATATACCCCTTATATAGCCTCATAAAGCCCCTATATAACCCCAGGGGTCACCCTAAACCCTAAACCCTAAACCCTAAACGCTAAGCCGTGTCATGTCTGCAGAGTTCCGGGGTGTTTCGGATGTTTGAGGGCTACAACACTTGAGCAGGCCTCCCTTGACACCAGAGACTAGTGTAGGGGCCGAAACAATTTCTTGTACTTTTTTGAGGGGTTCCTTTAAAGGGTTCCCTTAAAGGGTTCTATAAGGGCTACCATAAGGGTTTAGGGTATAGCGGCCTTAATGATTAACTATACTTTTTGGGGGGCTCCTTATTATTATTGTGTTAGTCTGAGTACCAAAACCCTATTCTAATTATTGAGGCCCCTAACTTACCTTCGGGCAACCGTTCCAGTGTCTTTGGATCTCGTCCTCCTGACCGCCAGTTTTTCCATTTCCCATCGTTCAACTCTTCTCTCTCTGGCTGTCAGTGGACACGATCTTCAAGGGAGCCAACAACAGCCTCACAGAGCCGCGAACCCGAGCCCTAAACCCTAAACGCCATACCCACACCTCCTTACACTTCATATCACAGACACTCAACTCCAAAGCCTAAACTCTCTTCCCTCAAGCTACATCAGCTGCGGTTCCCTGAGTTCCTACTGTCGTAGATCGACCTTTACTTGTATTGGCAAGGTCTTAAGCTTACCTAAACCCTAAGCCCCTATTACACCCTTATCCCGAGACCTGTAGACTCTACCTGTCCTCATAGACTTCAAGTCCTATACCCTACCTGGACCCTAAAGAACCTACCTTTCTAGGGTTCCTTATCATGGTTTCTTTACATGAGTCCTTTAAAGGGTAGGCGATTTGGGGCTAAGGTAGTCTCTCAATCCTGAGCCTTAAGTCCTAAACCCTAAACCCTAAACTTTAAACACCTTAAGCCTGACGCGCCCCTCGCGTGCAGGTCACTTCAGGGACGTCTCAGCCCATTCCAGCTGCGACTTGGCTTCGGAAGATTGTCTGATAAGGAGCGTTTAAAGCCACCTATAGGGGGCTACTTTATAGGATAATACATGTAAGACTGGATAGGATATGTTGAACCTAAAAAGGAACTGCAATGGAGACTTATCGGTAGGAATGGGATTCCGGGATATGCAAGGACGAGGGCACTAAGGTATGGTCACATTCGGGCGACTACACTTAGAACAAATTATGATCTCGTCCACAAGCCCAAAGGTCCTATGTACCTATATGGTAGAATGTAGGGTTTCTATGGCAGGAATAGTTATTATGATTTTGGAAAGTAGCCCTTATAGCAGTACCTAGGACCCTTTGGGAGTTAACAACCCCTTGCGTAGTTGTCGGAAGTCGGTTCTGCGTGTGACGGTTCCAGAGAGCTTTGGAAATTGGTTTGACTTTTTGTCGCCAGAAGTGCGTTTTTGGTAGTATGTTAGGGTTTGGTTTTAGGGTTAGGGTTTAGGGATATGTCAGGGTTTGGTTTTAGGGTGACAGAGGAGTCTGAACAACTACGAATATTGTTCTTTAGGTTTCGTTTGGACTTTTTTCTCAGTGTCATCATCCTATCATAACCATTATCACCATCCGCAGAAGCTGCAATGTCGGCATTGTCGGACCTGGTCAAAGCATTCTCATGGTTTTGCATCATGGTGACCACTTCCAGTCTTATCATGATCTCGGAGGCTTCAATATCGAGCTCTTCTTTGAGCAGGGGGAATTGAGGATTGGTGTTCTCCTATCTGTTCTTCGAACTCAGCTTACCTTCGTTGTCATTGTTTATGGTCAATGTCAACGGCAAGCTTTGGCAGCATTTGCCAGGGACGTCTTCCCAGTGTCATGCCCAGCTGTAAGAGAGATTCTCTTTCTCTCTCTACAAGAGTCCATGTGGCCATATGGTACATACTTAGGCGATGAAGTAGTCCCTATATTAAGCGCTTTAGGGCCAAGGTATAATTGTACGATGTGGGTACATGGACCCTTGGGGTGATCTCAGGGTAACTGTTGGCAGCTAGGGGAGTGCTGAACCCAAAGCCCGAAACCATGAGCCTCACGAGGAGACTTCGGGATTTAATATTTGGCGAAGGACAGCCACTGTAACAGATAACCCTAAACCCTAAACCCTAAACCCTAAACCCTAAACCCTAAACCCTAAACCCTAAACCCTAAACCCTAAACCCTAAACCCTGCCCAACCCCATGGGCCCCCAGAGAAGTCCGAAAAGCCGTTTGCGGAAAGTCGGCCTTGCACGCTGAAAGTCCACAACCACAATGTCTGCAAAGTTCTAGGTAGGCCATTGGGTTATTTGATGCATTCTCTCATTGAGCCTGAGAAGGTCATAGGAACGAACCAGCTGCAGAGTGGTTGAATCTAAGCCCCAAGCCCTCAAACCTAACTCCTAAAACCGTAAAGCAAAAGCCCTACACCCCAAGCACTAAACCCTCGAACCTAAACCCGACCCCAAAAATCCCTAAGGCCTTCAGGAACAACCCCGCATCCCAAAATCCGACTCAGAAGGCTTGCAGCAGCCCACTGCCGGGTAGTGGTCCTCACGAACCCACAGGACCTGGTGGTCTCTCTTACCAGAATTCAGAATGTAACTACACTATTGGTGAGGGTTTAGGGTTTCGGGGTTTAGGGTATAGGGTCGAGGCCAAAATTAACTGTTCATGATCGAGGAAGCTGGGCTCCAAAATAAAGCCGAAGCAGCCTTCTCGCGGAGAAAAGCACCCGGCGAAGCCAAAGCAAAAATAACAACGCGAGAAGCCTCCCGCGCTTGAAAGGTTTCCAGGGTTTAGGGTTTAGGGTGTGGCAGTCCGATGTTTATGGGAACTCCGCGCGGATGGTAGGTATATCGTACGACTAGAATGAGAATGTCCATTCTATGCATGTCTTTCGGTATGTAGACACAATGCATGGTACGAGGGCTTAAATAAATACCAATACCATTTTGGGGGTTGAATATGAAAAGTGCAGTATAATGGGCCCCAAAACCCTATTCTTGTTATCCTAGATTATGTGCATGAGGTTTCCAAGGCCCTGCAGCCCTCAACCCTGCACCCTGCTCCCCCTTAACCGAAAGAGCTGAACCCCCCAAACCCAAGCCCAAAATCCTAATGCAGGGCCCGAAAAAAACCTATACTATTTTGGGGGTTCCTTATTATATCCGTAGTATAATGGGCCCGAAACCCTATTCTTATTATGAACGCCCTATATTATTAGAATTTGAATCTCAGAGTCCAAAGCCTGCCTCCTGAATAAACTCTCAGTGTTAAACCCCAACCGTCAAATTCTGAACTCGATACACCCCAAATTGCTTGTCGAAGCGGAACCCTCAAAAAAACCATCAAATTTCCAATCCGTTCAACCCTTCAACCCAAAGACGATAGATCCGAAGACCAAAACAACCTAGACCTGTGAAAGCAGGAATCCTATGTTTTGAACTCCGTAAACCAAAGCCTCTAGCCTCTAGGGGCCTGAAACTCTAACGCCCAAATCCCTCAGGGCCTAAGCCCTAAACCCTAAAACCCCGAATGCCGTTAGCAAACTTCGTGCAGACGCAAAGAGCCCATTTAAAAAGTAAAAACACAAAACAAACGCAACAACAACAGCAGCAGCAGCAACAACAACAACCTATAACTCCCACCCTAAATCCTCATGTCTGAGGAGCTAGGGGAATTGCCCCCGGATGCGGCGCTGCGGGAGGAGTACTCGGACGTGTTGTCCGTTCTCAAGGCTCGAGCTTCTTCGTGTGAGTAGTTTCGAGTACCAAGAAAGGAAAGGGTTTAGGGTTTCAGGCTTAGGGTTTAGAGTTTAAGTTTTTAGGGTTTAGGGTTTAAGTTTTAGGGCTTAGGGTTTAAGTTTTAGGCTTTAAAGGTTTAAGGTTTAGGGTTTCGGGCCGGGTTTTGGGTTTAAGCTGTTATGAGCTTCTTCGTGTGAGTAGTTTCAGTTGACCACAGAAGCAAATTGTGTTATAGTAGAAGCCAGAAAGTTGGAACATCACTATCCTCATGCCCTTAAGGTTAAGTAAAGGGAATCCTGGCACTAATCTTCCGAAACCCATGTTCCAACTTTCTGGGATTCGCTGCATGAGGCGCCTCCGCAAGATCCCAAGGGTCAATTTAGAAAGGGCACTACGCAATTACTAGTGCCCTTTCTTCGGGTTCTCATTCTACTAAACCATAAACCCTAAACCCTAAACCCTAAACCCTAAACCCTAAACCTGTAGCCTGCAACGCCTGCGCCAATCATTGAGGGCCCTAGGTGAAGGTTGCAGGCCGGGTCGTAGGAAGTCCGGGGCTCTAGAGCTAAGGGTGTAGATTCGTTTAGGTTTAGAGTCTTTAAAGGGGATGGCCTTGCGATGTTGGGTGGTTTTGAGCTGTATAGGGCTGAAGGCATTGGGGATTGATGACTGAGGCGCGTTTTGTGTGTGAATTTACGCGTTTCAGCCTCCTACTCGAAGCGTTCGAAACAGAATGGGCGCCTTCAGGCCCCCATTAGGGTTTAGGGTTTAGGGTTTAGGGTTTAGGGTTTAGGGTTTAGGGTTTAGGGCCCCCATGCTTGATCATGGGGGTTGGGGGTAATGTAGGGGCTTTCATAGTTAGAATAGGGTTTGGGGGGTCCCTTCTGTAAATACAGTATAATGTACCCCAAACCCTATTCTAATTATTAAGGCCCCTATATTATACTATAGTCCTAGAACCTCCTAGAAGGTCCCAGAGGAAGATCTCTACATTCCCTGCATCTATCCGACCCACACGAAACTAGCAGCCGCCCGCCAAGGCTGCAAACCAAGCCGTGTAATACAGGGCGAATACAAAGCGTACAAAACCAAACCCTAGAAAAGCTCATGCAATCCTATCTTGCGTCAGATGCCACCGCTCCCAAAACCACAAACGCCAATCCCCAGACCCTACCTGAACCCTAATACGGAGGTTTTTGGATCCCCGGGTAAACGCTTGAGGGGTTTAGGGTTTAGGGGCTTGAAGGGAGTTCCCATAGTTCTGGATACCTACCCGAACTTGGAAGGAAAACTTCCGCGCTGCTCGAGACCAACTACTAGATAAGTACCTCTCCTGCGATGAGCCTCGTCCAAGAGGGTTTGGAGGTTCAGAGTTAAGGGTCAGTGTAAAGGTTTGGAATATTCGGGTGGTTAAGGGTTTCTTTGTCTATTAGTGTTCCTAAACCCTAAACGCGAAAGCCTCAGTTGATCCGGATGACCAGGCATCCTGAAGCGATCTTCTCTCGCTCGCTGAAATGAAATAGCTTTGGCCGAACATGATAGGGCTGTGCCTACACACCAGTGTGCACATTCAGTCATGGCTGCAGCTGATTGTCAGCCTGTATGCATGTCTGTATGTTCGTATGCAAAGTAGGTAGGTGTAGTTAGTTACCCAGACCCCCAAAAGGATCTAAAAAATAGATCCCCTAATTAGGACCCTAACTACTAAAGGGTACTTTATGGGAACCCCCTTAGGGGATCTATTTTTTAGATCCTTTTGGGCGTCTGGTCATGAAGATTCTCCTGAGCATGCCAGATCTTGGTTGAGGCGTCTTGGTTTCAGGGTCTCTGCCTCCAAAAATGGAAGCCTGGAAAATTCCAGCGCAATTCCGTAGGCCTCCTAATGTCAAAAAGATATTGCGTATGCACACATATTATGTATCTATATGTATACATATGTCTATACATACATACCTGTACCAAGAAACCCTGTTCTAATTATTCAGGGCCTCATATTTCTGCTGCAGACTCAGGAAGAGGCCAAGAAAGAGGCCGCGGACATCATTTCGAAGAACGGCAGGCCGTCTGCTCAAGTGGGCGACGATGAAGAAAGAGGAGTGCAGTGCACCTCCTACTATCCAGGGCCGTTCTCGGCTTGCTAGGGGGTTTCGGGATTAGGGAGAGAACACCAGGAACTCCACCGAATTCGCAAGACGAAAGCCGAAAACTCACGTTGATATCTGAAAGGCTGAAACTTTGCATTCTCAGACTTCAGCCATTGAATGTAAGGTAGGCAATCGCCAGGCGAGTCAAGGGCCTGGGAAGGCAGGGCAACGTTAGCGTGCAAGCTGTTGCGTTTGGGGGTGGTCAGGCTGACTGTGTCCACCAGCAGCTGGTCAACGATTCAAAGAGACTTCCCAAATGAAACCCCAAAGGGAGCCCCAACCCAAGGTAGCACGCGCCTTAGTGGCCATGGGGTTTGGGCACGGCCCATGGCTGCGTAAGATTTGCAAAACGCTGTAGATGTAAATGTGGGCTCCTGTGCACCTTTGTTGACGAAAAGGCTTGTTTTGGATGAGTTGAAGGTGCAGTCTTTTGCCAGGGTTTTGCTTGTCGAAGCACGAATTCACTGGCCGCAGTGGGAGATTTGACAATCTTCCGAATGCGAATCGTGCATGCGGTCTCTTTTTGCTCAAATTTATTCTTCTTGGCGTCTGCCAACCGACTAAGGTCCGTCGACAGCTGCTTTGGAGAATTGAAACGGAACATAACGGACAATCGATGATTATAATAGTATTAAAGGTGATGATGATGATGATTATGGTGATGGTGATGATGATGATGATGATGATGATGATAATGATTAATGATGGTGACGATGATGATTATGGTGATGGTGATGGTGATGATGATGATGATGATAATGATTGATGATGATGACGATGATGATGATGGTGATGCTGATGATGATGATGCTGCTGATGATGATGATGACGGTGATGGTGATGATAATGGTGATGATGGTGATGAGGTACTGATGATGATGATGATGATGATTGTGATGACGATACTGATGATGATGATGATGATTGTGATGACGATACTGATGATTATGACGATGATGATGTGGATGATGATGCTGGTGATGCTGATGATGATGATGATGATGACGATGATGATGGTCATGATGATGATGGCCTTCGGAGATGTTCATGGGGATGGATGCGAAATGGACGTCATCCCCGCCCCACCCCCAACCAAAAAGAACCTAGAAAGGCACCCCAAAGGGACCAGGCTTTGAGGTTTGGGGAAGTTGGGAAATCACAGTTGCTAGATTTCTTTGTCCATTGCACGCTCTTCTGTAAACTTGCAACCATCGTGTTTGAAGTCCTTCGCTCGAAAGCGCTTAAGCCAGCCTCTGAATGGCGGAACCCGTGAAACCCTGGACGAAGTCCCATGCTCTAAACCTATTGTGGAGGAGTCTTCGTGGATGAAACCGCATGCTCTCGATGCTACAAATGCGTCGAGGTGGCCTCATCCACCTTTGCTGTGCACAGGACCGCTGCCGTTTAGGATTCGAGTCCAGGTACTACGGCCAGCGCACGGATATAGGGGCCTAAATAATTACCTATACTATTTGGGGGTTCCTTATCATAACTATAGTATTATGGGCCCCAAACCCTATTCTAATTATTAAGGCCCCTATATATATATATATATATTTATTTATTTATTTATTTATTTATTTATTTATATATTAGCTCGAGTATGACTCCCTTGACGTCAAGACCCCAGTCTGATTGTTCCAGTTTTTTTGGGCCCCAAAACCCCTATTCGGATTACTAGGGCCCCACATTCCCAGAGACTCCAATTCAATATCCCTTAATTAAGGAATATACCTTAAATCATGTTAGGGATCCTACTATGATTTACCGTATATTCCTTCATTAAGGGATATTGGAAACTCTGGGTTGTTATGGGCCCCTAAACCCTGAACCCTACAACCCTAAACTAGGGCTCCATGGGGAAAGTCAGGGCTGGAGTCTTGGTAGGCTGCACTACAGGGGTCGGAAGATTCAATGGCTAATTTTGGGGGGGCTCCTTATTAGAGTTATAGTATATTAGGCCCTAAAACCTTTTCTTATTGTTAAGGTCCCTATAGTACTGCTAAGTACTCCTTTGTTCCCAGTCTATAAGCCCTAAACCCCTAAGCTCTAAACCCTAAACTGTAAGCCCTACTGTCAACCCTATAACAGTCCATGAACCAGGTGCCCAACCGTCCATAAGTCCTAAACATAGTGGGAAACATGTTTTCTCGCCACAATCTTTAAAAGCTCAAGAGTCCGTAAACCAGGAGCCCGGAGCGTGGCGAGAAGGCGCATGCGGTGGTGCAGGATCGGACCTAAAGCCTAAACCCCTAAAGCCTAGACCCTACACCCCTAAAACCTAAACCCTACACCCTATAAACCCTAAACCCCTAAAACCTAAACCCTGAACCCGATAAGCCCTAAACACCAAAAGCCTAAACCCCTAAAGCCTAAACCCTACACCCTATAAACCCTAAACCCCTACAGCCTAAGCCCTATAAACCCCAAACCCCAAAAGCCTAAACTCCTAAAGCCTAAGCCGTGTTTGGTTTGGCTTTGGGTTTGTCAGGAGCCAAGGTTTGGGGTTTCAAGGTTTAGGAGTTTAGGGCGTAGGCTTCACAGGGTTGAGTTGAGGGTTTTGGGTTTCGGGTTTAGGAGTTTAGGTTTTATAGGCTTTATAGGAGCAAGGGCTTTAGGGTTTAGGAGTTTAGGGTTTAGGGCTTAGGAGTTTAGGGTTTAGGCTTTAGAAGGTTGAGGGCAAGTATGAAGGAAGAAACTATCGCCTTAATTGCTACCGGGAACACGCGTTCTCTGGACGACTTGCAGGTCAATGATTGAAGCAGTTCCGTCATGCAGGCTTCCAACCCCTAGCCAAACCTGAAGTGCATAGTTAAAGATCCGTGCTCCCCTAGACCCTAAACCCTGTTCCCCCAAACCCTCAACCTTCAACCCTGTTCCCCTAAACCCTAGGATAGACTTTAAACCCTCAATTCCATAGACCCTCAAACCTAAACCCTAAACCCTACCTAAACGCTGTTCCTTGAGCATCGGCCGCAGGATGCCGACGCCACGGAGATCCTGGAAGCAGCGGCTACCTGTCCGAATTAAAGCCATCTGAACCAGGGCTTGTCTTCGGGTGTTTACAGAGTTTAGGGTTTATAGGGTTTAGGGTTTAGGGGTTTAGGCTTTAGGGTTTAAAGTTTAGGGTTTAGGGAGTTGTCATAGGGTCCTACAGGGCCTTTAATAGGGCTCCAGGATAGATGTTTATATGGGTTGAAAGGGGGGTGTTAAGGTTTTTTTACAATGTTTCAATAGGTCTTTATAGTTTTTTGATAGACATTGACGGGCGTAGGGTTTATTTTTGCGTTTTGGTGGGTGTTTTTGGGATGTGCTCGGAAGACAGGCGAGTGCATATCTTGGGTTCCCCTTTAAGCTCGAAGCCCTGATCCCCTCCTCCACAAGCCACAACACAGCAACCAAACCCCAAAGCCCCAAACCCTAAACCTTAAATCCCAAACCCCAAACGGAAAAAAAAAAACAGCCCTTTTGTCACTTGTGCCGTCAAGGTCAAGGGTTCAGGGTTCAGGTTTAGGGTGTTGAGGGGTTTAGGGCTTTACGGGTTTAGGGTCTAGGGTTTAGGCGAGAACAAGAATAGGGGTCGAAGCCTTTCTAAACTACCTTAGAACATACCACAAAACAAGACTTTTCTCAAGAATAGCTTCTTAGCGGTTCACGGCTTAGGGCTTCAGGGTTCTTAGTGTAACACGGACCTAAGACCTAAGAGCTTGTTTTCCTAAACCCTAAACGCCTAAACCCTAAGCCCTAGACCCTATATAAAGCTCAGACATAGGGATTTCCATCATTGACCCGAACCATCCCTACCTCCGACCCTTGCAGGGCTCCCCGTTAGGGCTATTCCGTGGTCTCAGGCTTGCCTCACAGGGTTTTGGCCTAAAGACTACCTATATAGCCTCCATTGTAGTTCCCTTTTTGGGTTTAACCAATTATATATTCGGGATTTCATAAGGTATCCCAAACAGGAACTACAAAGGAGACTATAGGTAAATCTCGACGCCGACTTCAAGGTCATCACCCCAAACCCTGTTAGAGTTTAGGGTTTAGGCTTTAGGGGTTTAGGGTTTAGGGGTTTAGGCTTTAGGGGTTTAGGGGTTTAGGGGTTTAGGGGTTTAGGCTTTAGCGGTTTAGGGTTGACGGTACGTGGTTTAAGGGGTCGGGCCTTGCGGGTGAGGGTTATGGTTTGGTTTAGGGCTGGGGGTTTAGGTCTCAGGGCCGCATCTGTTCTTGGATTTTTGTATACATATTTTTATATATATATATATACACAAACCCGACTTTTTACAACATCAACCAATCCCGGCCCCAGTACCGAAGAATGAAGGTGCGAGCATGTCCCTCGCGGGCAATCTCCTTCGTGAAGAAGGAGGACGCCCTTCAGGGTTTGATGTTGAAGGGTGTGGGGCTCGGGGCAAGAATTCCCCTAAACCCTAAACCCTGTCTTTGAACCTCCAGGCCCCAATAACGGCTCCTCCTGGTATGGAATTCCTAATGTGTATGCAGACGGAAAAGGGCCCACAAAAAAAAAGACTAAGCCCTACACTCTCGACATCTCTCGACTCTTAACAGGAAGCCCGGTAGATACGAAGCCCTACAGGCCCTTCACCCTGAACCCGTAAACCCCTAAAGCCTAGAAGCCTTAGTCCGTACACGCCGAAATGGTATCCACTGAGTCAGAGATCAGATTTCTGGACACTGCCTTCGTGAGACCAACCTTTGCAAGAATAAGGAGATTCCGCATGTATGGTGGGTTTAGGGTTTAGGGCATTGTACATGGTGGATTCGGGATTTAGGGCACGATATTTGATTTATGCACCTCTGCAAGACTGACGATGTACTGCAGTGCCAGTGTGTAAGAACGAGCCACACACAAAGGAGTGGCACAAGGAAATTTTCTGCATAATAAGAAAACATACAGAATCAAAGATGCATGTGTGCATGCATGTATGTACACAGTGTAGGATACAGATGCATGCATTTGCGTGTACATTTCAGTTTGTAAGGCATGCAGCTATGTCGGCATACATTTATGTAGATAATCATCATGAATTCGGCTGAATGCATAACAAACACCCAGGTCCGTAAAAAGGCATAGATGCTGAGGGAGATAGACAGACGCCACACACGCACACATACTCACATTTGGAAAGCTGCCCAAGGCGCATGCCAACAGGGTGGTATTGTAGGGTTGAGGGTTCCTGGGTTCAGATTTGAGGGTTCAGGCGTTTAGGGTTTCGGGTTGAGTTCATTAGGGCTGAAAGCGTTGAGGCTTTGAAGGTTTCCCCCTAAGCCCTAAACCCTACCTTAACCCCCAAGAATCTACCTTTTTAGGGTTCCTTAATATAGTTTCTTTATATGTAAGTCCTTAAAAAGGTGGGTTCTTTGGGGTTGAGGTGGTCCCTACTCCTGTCGAGCAGGACGTGCCGCTGCTGGATCTGGCGATGCGCGAGTCTGCAACGCTGGCGCACACTTCGGGCGTACTGCGTGGGCCCTGGGAGATCTTCCAGGAATACGTCGTGGAGGACATCGTCAGGCTGGGGCCAGCACCCAGAAACCTTAGGGTTCAGGGCTTTAGGGGTTTAGGGCCTCGGGTTTAGGGCTTAGGGCTTAGGCTTTAGAGATTTAGGGTTTAGGGTCCCTAGGCCCTAAAACCGTAAAGCCTTTAACCCTGAATTCTAACCCTAAACCCTAAAAGCCCCAACTAAACCGTACTACAGCCCTAAACTGCCCTGGTCTCGCCATGGGTTCCAAGTTGTGCACGGGAACCAGATGTCAGGACATAAAGTTAGCTTTCTTTCTTGCTTGGACTTCTTTTCATCCTCAACCCCAAATCTAGGCTTTATAGAAGGTCTATATACCTTATAGAAGCCTTCTAGAAGCCTTATATACCCTAAACTCCCCACCTGTAGTTTCCTTCAACCAAACGCATGCAAAGTTTCAATCAGCATGAGTCCCTGGACCCTGAGACCCTCAATCTGCGAACCCTACGCCGCAGACCGTATAGCAACCGTACAAGGTAACAGTTAAGGTAGTAATGATCGTTATATATATAGCAATATGTAGTAATAATGGTCGTCATGGTCTATCTATCTGTCTATCTATCTAACTATCGATCTATCTATCGATCTATCTATCTATCTGTCTATTTATCTGTGTGTATATATATATATAGAGAGAGAGAGAGATGGAGATACGGATAAGGATATAGAGATAGGTCTAGTTATAGAGCCTATAGCTGGATCCCTATCTTTGGAGGATGGACCTTGAACTGCGCGACTTCACCCCGGCGAAGACCATGAGGGTGCCTGGTTCAGGAACGTTTCTGGAGTAGGGATAGTGAAACACTATCATTGCCAGAACGGTTTCTATATGTTTCTATACACGCGAGGGTAATTGGGCCATTGTCGCATTTTTTGAACTTGTGTTCTAGTTATCATTAGTAGCATTGCTGTTATCGTTTTATTATTCTCCTGGAAAGGGTCACTGTTTCGGTTTATTCTACTTCATGAGTCACACACTACCACAAGGCCCACGATTCAAGCCCATGTTTGAAAGTCCGAAGGGGGAATCTCCCATCCTATTTCTACACAAACCCGAAGTCCAAAACCCCCTCTCTGTGTACATTTATCTCGTTGTACCACCACCAATCACTAAGCTATCTCTCATGGGAACACTTGCAAGAATACAGGCGTCTGAATGATTAGTAGCAGCGTTGGCGTATAGTATAGTCCCATTCACAACTGCGCTAGGCAGCATTAGTCTGAACCAAAAAGCCTAGTGTGGTCATTGGCTAAACGCGAGACCCTAAACCCAAAACCCTACCGTGGTATTTTAGGACCCTCTATAAGCCTAAACCCTAAACCCTATTGTGGTCAATTAGGACCCTCTTTAAGTTGAGGATGCCGAGTCAGTGGCCGAAATCGCTGACATTGCGGGTGAGATTTCTACATCTGCAAGCGCAATTCCGGAGGCCTGAACCCTTTGGCAGCCCTTCAAAAAGTTTCAGAAACCCGACAATTCCTACCCCCTAGAGGAGCAAACCTTGGGCTTAGGATGACTGTAGAACTTGCAGCTTACTATAGGGGCCTAAATAATTGATTACCTATACTATTTTGGGGGGTTCCTTATTATGAAGTATAGTATCATTTACCCCCAAAAGCCTATTCTTATTCGTAAGGCCCCTATATGACGTAATTTATGGGGAGATCTGGGGGCGTAGTTTTGCAATATCAACGCCGAGTCTCCAGGGCCTGCCTTCCGAAAGCCAGCTGAACCAGACATCCTCCATGAAGCCATTGGTTTAGGGTTTAGGGTTTAGGGTTTAGGGTTTAGGGTTTAGGGTTTAGGGTTTAGGGTTTAGGGTGGGCGACTCCTACACGATACTACACTATACTCTGCCTGCTGATGGGGTCGGGTTGGAGTTGGGGCAAGTTGGGGCCTTCTGCCAAAACGGCGATGGCGCTTAACCCCAAGCAAGCAGATATGGGTTTGGTGTTGGCAGTTCTTCGAGCCCCATATTCTTACGGTGACTCTAATCCGTATTACTGTATCTTCTATAGTCTACATATCTAAGCCAAGAAGCCCTGAACCGTGAACTCAGCTTTTGAGCTCAGCTTCGCCCCTTCATGCCGTCCTAAACCCTAAACCCCTAAACCCTAAACCCCTAAGCCCTAAACCGAGCATGGTCCGGTAGAGTTTAGAGAGCCCGATGGTGACCAGGGTTTGGGGCCTAGGGTTGACTTCGGGACTCCTAGCAAGCACTGCAACGCCACATACATTGTACTGTGGCCATGTCCGAGCTTCGGGATCAGACATCCATCCCTAAACCCTCAACCTATAATCATGAATCCTACATACATAATATACGTATATATATATATATATCTATATGTATGTATGTATGTATGTCTGTATGTATGTATGTATGTATGTATGCACGTATGTATCTATCAACATCCCCAAACCCTACAAAGTGCGAAACCCCACACCGAGCACAGCTTTTGTCTGCTCAGGGCGTCCGCGCGCGACTCTGGAAAGGCATCGGCGGCGATGAGTCCGCTGTGAAGGCTGCACCTGGCTGGAGGGCTGGGTTTAGGGTTTAGGTATTAGGGTATTAGGGTTTAGGGTTTAGGGTATTAGGGTTTAGGGTATTAGGGATTAGGGTTTAGGGTATTAGGGTTTAGGGTTTTAGGGTTTAGGGTTTAGGGTTTAGGGTTTAGGGTATTAGGGATTAGGGTTTAGTGCTTAGGGTATTAGGGTTTAGGGCTTAGGGTTTATAGGGTTTAGGGTGGTATACTATACCCTAAACCTTAAACCCCCTAATATCGCGGTCTTAGTGAATGGAATAGGGCGCTCTTTGAAGAGGTCTAGTAGAAACAGTATATAACAGTATAGTCGTATAGTATAGGGGCCTTAATGAGGTCTATAGGGGCTACGTATGATATGGGGGTTCGAGAGGAGCCAGTCAAACTACCTGAACAAGGGAAGCATACGGCTACTTGACGTTAACCCTAAACCCTAAACCCTAAATCCCTAAACCCTCTAGGTTTCATTGGCGTTACACTGGTTACTTGGGGCAGGGCTTAACAAGGACCAAGATTCAGAAAGTTTAAGTCCTGCCCAACATAGGAGCCTAGATAATTACCAATACTATTTTGGGGGTGGTTCTTCACTATAATTCTTTACTATAATTCAAGTAGACTATATACCCCGAAACCCTATTCTAATTATTAAGGCCCCTACATTAACTTGTTGGGCTCCTGTGTTGGAGGAGCTCGCCATTGGTATTGTCTTGCCATGGGTAAAACTAAAAGGGTCCATGTACCCAAGTAGTATAAGGGGCCTTAATAGTTAGAATGGGGTTTGGGGTATAGTCTGCTACAAATATAGTAAGGAACCCGCAAAAACCCTATTCTAATTATTAAGGCCCCTACATTCAGACTTTCCATCGAGTTCCGGAGACATGGCTCCCTACAGCTCCATAAACCCGCAACCCCAAGCCCTAAGCCCTAAGCCGATCTGCGTACAGGAGCTCGAGGCAATGGCACAGGGCAGCGGCGAAGCATCATCGCTGTCGCGGAACACCCTGAAGGCCGAGGGTATTGCGTCAATATAGGGGCCTCAATAACTACCGATACTATTTTGGGGGGCTCCTTATTAGAGTTATAGTAGAACATACCCCCAAACCCCATTCTAAATTAAGGCCCGTACATTACCCTAGAAGGGTCCAAAGGACCTAATAATTAGGTACTTGGGTTGTGGATAGTCGGTTTGTAGGCTGATAGTTTGGAAGGTATATGGTTTTTAGGTACATGGACCCTTAGGGTTACTCTACGATTTGCACCAATGTTCCATTCAAGACTGTCTACGGGTCTACCACGGGGGGCAAGTTATCGGCGTTTGGCTGGTTCTTTGTGTGTTCAAGTTGATGTGGATGAGGCTCTGACTGTTGTCTGTCTGGTGCTTAGTAGGGAATGTGGGAACGGATTCCTATGATAGTCCCCTAAGGTCCCTTATAGTAGTCCCTATAACCCATTCCCCCATTCCCTAGAAAGCACCAGACAGTTGTGGCTGGCATTGTCTTGAAAGTCTGGTCTTGTTTGGATCGGATCTACGGTTTAGGGTTTGCTTTAACCCCAAATAACCAGCCCTGTCAAGGACTCAGAAAATAAGGAACCCTACAAAGGTAATATAGGGGCCTTAGTAATTAGAAAAGGGTTTGGGGTATATATTATACCGTGATTGCAAGAATGAACCCCCAATGCCCTATTCAAAATATTAAGGCCCCTAAACCCTAAACCCTAAACCCTAAACCCTAAACCCTAAACCCTAAACCGCCCCTACAGTAGGTTTTATAGCCTCCAGGTAGAGGTTGGCTTTTGGGGAGTTGGGTTCGGGTTGTCGGACTTCGTCAAGGAGGGCTTTGGGGCAAATATGTGTGCGCGGTTTGCTAGACATAGGCTTTAGGGCTTTGGGTTTAGGCTTTAGGGTTGCGGGTGTAGGGCCAGTTAGGGTTCAGGATTTAGGGATGTAGCAGGGGTTCATGGGACTTGATAAGGTCACATAAGTGGGATGGTGCGTATGGGTTTACATGGGTGTTTATCGTTTATATGCACCTATTATGTGTGGTCAATAGTCTACTTGCTACGGGATCTGTGTGAGTTCTCTGTCAGTTTTGTTTACCGGGCTACACCGAAAAGGCTGGTACAAAGCATGTAATATAGGGGCCTTAATAATTCCCTAAACTATTTTGAGGGCTCCTTATTATCATTATAATATGATGGGCGTCAAAACCCTGTTCTAATTATTAAGGCCCCCTACAAAGCACCTACATTAAGAAATTACGCAAGGTAGTTCGTCTCTCGCATAATTTCAGGGATCCTGAAAACCTACATGGCACACCCTACCTGGACCCTAAAGCTCTACCTTCTCAGGGTTCCTTGTTATGATTTCTTTATATAAGTTCTTAAAAAGGTAGGTGATTTGGGGCTAAGGTAAACCCCTGAGCCCTAAACCGTTATACTCTACTAGCCGTTCATGAAGCGGACGTTAAATAAGCCCCAGAGCAGGAAGTTCGAAATCCTAAAAGCCTCAAACCCTAAAGCCCTGAAGCCCCAATCTTAAACTCTGAAACCTTATACCCAATAGCCCCAGAGCCTAAACCTTCAAACCGCCCAAACCCGATAGAACTCGTACTCAGAACTTCTAAACAAAGGAATCCTCAAAGGAATACAAAAATCCCACAACAAGCATGCAAAAAGCCCACCCAAAGCTCCCTAGCTCTGTTTCTCCCTGGGGCAAGGCCGACCTCTTCAAGTTCCTGGTATCTAGGACCGAACTACCATTGAGGTTTGTAGGGTGTTGCGTTGATTAATGATCGCGGACTCTTCGAGTACTTTATACAATATATAATTATATATATATACATATGTATATATTTATTTATTTATATTTATTTGTATTTGTTTATATATGTATAACATTATATACCGACACCTTTCAAATAAAAGCCTATTCCAACTCATCAGTTATCATATAAGGCGCTCTATTTCGCGTGCTTCCGCCGTTGGTTAAGAGTCCAAGGTTGCGCTGCGGTGCCGTGCTGGTGTTTAAGAGGTATTGGGGTTTTGGGTCTTGAAATTGGGCTTAGGATTCAGTGTGTGGGGTCTAGGGTAACGAGGGGTTTAGGGTTTAACCCCTACGCAGCCCCCAAACCCTTAGTGGGGTATAGCGCCTTGAGCAATGCAGGGGCCTTAGTCATTGGAATAGGGTTTTGGGTGGTTCCTTGTTATACCTTCCGTAGCCCTCTTCACGCGCGCTTAGCGCTATGTTTTAGTAGCCTTTCACATTGGTTTTTGCAAGGGTTTAGGAATTCAGGGCTTGAAAATGTGGGGGTGGGGGGGGGTGGGGGGGGGCTATTTCCGTCAGGTCGACTGCTAGAACTCTACTACTGCGACGACTACTAGCACTACATAGGACTACTACGATTACAGGTCGTGCTCCTCTTGCTTCTGCATAGGACTACTACGATTACTGGTCGTGCTCCTCTTGCTTCTGCTGCTGCTACAGCTGCTGATGCTGCTGCCACTACAGCGGCGACTACTAGCACTACATAGGACTACTACGATTACTGCTCGTGTTCCTCTAGCTTCTGCTGCTGCTGCAGCTGCTGATGCTGCTGCTACTACAGCGACGACTGCTGGCACTACGTAGAACTACGACTGCCCTACACTCGGTGCCTCCCATGAAACCTTAAAGACTAAGCCCTGGCAGCAGGTCGGTTGTCGTCTTGCAGGTTTTTCACTTTCTTAGATGCCGTGCTTCACTTGCTTGGTCCAGGCAGCCCTGTATTCCGCGACTTTTCCCTGTCCATAACTCCTGCCACGCGGTCAAACGTGTCCACCAAACGCAAACCACAAAAAACATTAAAAGCAACAAAAAACCAAACAACATAAAAACACATCGAACTCACAAAATGCTGTGCCTGCCACGGTTTTCCAAGATATCATTATCGACTCACATCAAGAAACTCCTTCAAAAATCGATTTTTCGTCCTGCGTTGGCGCCTGCGATGAGCCGTCCACGTATCTGCTCTAAAGCACTTCGAAGCTAACAAAAATAGCAAATTCCTCGCGGTTTTTCACGGTTCGCACCACGTATAAAACCTCCTCAGGTGCTCAAGAGCCTCCGCGACATGGTTTTTACGAGGCAAAATGCTCCTGCATTTTTCCTGCCTTTTGTTATTGTCTTGATAAACTGTTGCTTCGACAACATCGAAGGCTCAAATTCCTCGAGTTATTTCACACTTTCTGCCAAACAAGCGTTTGCGAATAGACCATACAAAACAAAATCTGTTGGCGTCTGCCTGGCTTCAGGACACTGTCATTGGCAGCTGCGCAGAGGCCATTTTTCGAGTTTTAACGCATTTTGACGCAGAAACGCTTCATTTCCCAACCCGCGCAAATCAGACAAACAGTTGTGTTTTTCGTGGTATTTGCAATGCAAAACGCTTCCCTGCCCTGCCGCGCGCGCGTGAAAAGGCTTCGGAGCGTTGTTATAGTTAGAGAGAAATATACCCCCAAACCGTATTAAACACTATAATTATTAAGGCACCCTAAACCCTAAACCCTATATTATATTAGGCTTTGGGAAGGAGCGAGACGAGGGGTTCACGATTCAGGATTGAGCTAAGGCCCGACGTCGCCCTGCCAAAAGCCTTTTTGTTATATTGCTAAGCTGCGTAGAAGTATAACTATTTTGGGGGTTCCTTTATTACAACTATAGTATAACATCGCCCAAAACCCCATTCTAATCTTTAAGGCCCCTGCATTAGGTATGAACGCGGGGCTAGGGTGTTCTTGGAGCATGAAGGTCTTTTCCCCGGAACTCCCCCCCCCCCGCGCCCCGAGCCCGAAACGGGGTCCTTGCGCCCAAATAGAGGATCCTTACCCCAAGCCCTAAACACCAAAACCAGGTACACAAAGTCTCTCCCAAGACTGTCGCTCTCTAGCTGCTCTCCTCTTGCTGGCAGTGTGCTTCTCAAATCCTGGAGGCCGCTCCTATCCTAACCCTGATGGGCACAGCTTTCAGACGCCATGCCTTGCCCTCTGGAGAAACGCACCAATTCCGAGATACCGGCAGGATGCTGCACATCTGGACGCTCTCCGGGGAATTGGTGAGCTCCAAGGACGGCATGGCTGCGTTCAGCCACGGGGGATCTATATCTCGTGCTGTTGCCGTTCGCCGAGGTGTCCGAATCGCAGATTAACGACTTCGTAGCTGCTGACCGGGGCTTTGTGGCGGAGGTTGAGTCCCTGCTGCAGCTGCCCCTAAATCCAGACTTGTTTGATGCGAACGGCCGCAGAGCTTTGATGAGGGCGGTCTTCAATGGTCATGTCGCGATGGTTCGCTTGCTGCTGGAGGCCGACACTAACAAGGACATGGCAGACAACATGGGTCAAACAGTGTTGATGATTGCGGCCGACAGAGAACTTGTCGAGATCGTTTGTTTGTTGCTGCAGGCCGGCGCCAACAAGGATCTTGCAGACATCCTTGGCTGCACAGCTCTAATAAGGGCAACCTACAGTCGTCGTGTCAAATTCATCCGCTTGCTGTTGGAGGCTCGGACCGACCCGGATGTGGCAAACCATAGCGGATACACAGCTCTGACGATCGCTTCTGACAAAGGTTTTGTCGAGGTAGTCCGCTCGCTGCTTGATGCCGGCCGGCACCTACAAGGACCTGACAAGCAGCGACGGGCACACACCTTTGATATGTGCAACTATCGCAGGACATGTTGAGGTTGTCCGCTTGCTGCTCGAAGCTGGTGCCAACAAGGACCTGACAGACAAATGTGGTCACACAGCATTGATGATCGCCTCAGGCGGGGGTCTCGCCGAGATCGTTCGCTTGCTGCTTGAGAATGGTGCCAGCAAGGATCTGGCAAGCAACGACGGTCTCACGGCTTTGATATTTGCAGTTGTTGCAGGTCATGTCGAGATCGTCCACTTGCTGCTGAAGGCCGGCGTGAACAAGGATTTGGCAGACAATCTCGGCCGGACAGCTTTGATGAAGGCAACCGACAGTGGTCATATCGATTTCGTGCGCTTGCTGCTGGAGGCCGGTGCTAACAAGGATCTGGCAGACAAACGTGGCCATACAGCTTTGATGATTGCTTCCCACAAGGGTCCCGCCGAAGTCGTTCGCTTGCTGCTTCAAAATGGTGCTAGCAAGGATCTGGCAAGAAACGACGGGCACACGGCTTTGATATGTGCAGTTGTTGCAGGTCATGTTGAGATCGTCGGCCTACTGCACGAGGCAGGCGCCAACAGGGATGCGGCCGCACAGCTTTGATGAGGGCATCCGAGAATGGTCCTTTTAAGTTCGTCCGTTTGTTGCTGGTGGCCGGGGCTGACAAGGATCTGGCAGACACCGAACTTGGCCGCACAGCTTTGATGTCTGCATCCGAGAGGGGTCTTGTGAGGATCGTCCGCTTGCTGCTGCAAGCTGGTGCCAACAAAGACCTGGCAGACAAACGTGGTCACACGGCTTTGATGATTGCCTCCGACAAGGGTCTCGCGGAGATCGTTCGCTTGCTGAATGAGAATGGCGCCAACGAGGATGCGACAGGCATCGACGGCTAGTACTGCTTTGATATGATATGTGTAACTGCCACCAACAAGAACCCGGCAGAGAACAGCGGCCGCACCGCTTTGATGAATGAGGCCATGCGACAGGTCTCATGTCAAATTCGTCTGTTTGTTGCCGGTGGCCGACGCTGAAAAGGATCTGTCAGACCACTTCGGCCGCACAGCTTTGATGCAGGCTTGTGGTCAATGGTTGCTGGAGGGCGATGTTAACAAGGACCGGGCAGAAATCCCACGCCGCCAGCGTTGCTGAGGGCATCCGAGAACGGTCATATCGACAGCATCCGCCTGCCGGAGGAGGGCAGGCGCGAACGGGGACCTGGCAGAAGCAGTCGACCGCACAGCTCCACTAGAGGGATTTGACCATGGTCGTGTCGAATTTGTCGGCTTGCTGCCAGAGGCTGGCACCAACATGGATCTGTCGGGCTAATTACTTAGGAACCACAGCTTTAATTGCGGCGCCCGGGACAAGTCGTTCTAGAATCATCGCTCGCTGCTAGCTGTCGGTGCCACCTGTCCTGAAAAAGAACTGCAGACATATAGGGAGGATCCAATCAAGGTCAGATCGACATCGTTCGGTTTCATGAGAGTGTCCCAAACATGACGGAGCAAGTACAGGCTGAAGGACCACCCTACACCCTCAATCGTCAATCTAAGGATGTTGACGGCAACGGCTTCCTCTACAGCGAGGCCACTCCGTGATGTTTGTCAGTCTCCAGGCTGTGGGGCTTGCCGGTCTTGCCGAAGCAGAACGATTAAAACACAAGAAGGCAAATCGAAGCGGATTGGGATACTATGTTTGGGGCGGTCGGAGGGGCTACCGTTTACTGTCTTGGTTTGGGTTCTGAGGTCCCGACACTCTTAACCCTCAAACCCCTAAAGCCGTTAGAAAGTTAGCTTAAAATTCCTCAAGACAAGTTATAAGCCCTAAAGCCCTAAACAACTAAAGGCCTAAAGCCCTAAAAACTAAACAAGCAACAACAACGACAAGGAGCTGAACTCCTGACCTTCGAAGGCCCTAAACCCCAAACCCAAAGTCCTACACCCTAAACCTAAATCCTAAGCCCTAAACCCTAAACCCTAAATCCTAAATCCTAAACCCTAAACCCTCAACCCTAAACCCGAAACCCTAAACCCTAAACCCTGAGCCCTAAACCCGAAATCCTAAA